AGATGTTAACTGCTAACCTGGCAGGTCCGACTGATAACGTGTACCACTCAGGTGTAGTTCTACACATTATTAATGTAGGATTACTCCTATTGAAAGTTTTCAATGAAAGGAGGTATGTCCATCAAAACCTTTGGAGCTGCATGGTTGAAGTGACACCTAGTCTACTAATATAATGGGTGTTAAAAGGGGGTCTGCAAAAGACGACAGATGAGGGAATCTGCTACCTGTGCATCCTCCTGCACGAGGGCATTCCCCAAAAAGTCAAAATGTCAACTTCATTAGACTGAGTCGACCCACATTTGGGCCCCTGCACTTTTTTCTGTCCAAAAACAATGTTACGTTACAATACACTGACACCCGTCAGGCACTAGGACCAAGCGGAAAACCATTGCTCAAGCTGAAAGCCCGTTTTGAAATATCTTAAATGGTTTAGGAGTTACAGTCTTAAAAAAGAACGTGGGTCTGCAAAAGATGACAGATGGTGAGGGAATCTACTACTGTAAGTTGGGCATTTGTTATTTTCATTGATTGTAAGTTAATGTAGTCTTAAGGCCAATTTATGCTTTTAAAGCATAGCCTCTGCAACTGTCAAATCTGTCTACGTGCAAGACCACACCCCCCCACGCAGAGGTTCTGCAACCGTCGTCGCGCACCTAAAAAAAATCCTGACTACATGTCGGACGGTCGCAAACCCGTGCAGACCTCAAGCAGAGGTCTCATCTCTGTGACCGTGATATCTTGCAGACGTGCCATTGTTGTTTTGGAAGATAAACACTACCACTGGCGCCTCCATAGTTCTCGTGACCATCCGCCAGAGTTCTCACGAGTTCTCGAATAGGCTCCCCCTTGCCCTTTGGAGGGAAACTGCTGTGCTTCCCTAGAAAATCCAGACCGACTGTGCAGAAGCATAACAGCAAAACTGGTTTGCGACCAGACCAAAGCAACATTTCATGTGTGCGGTTGCAGAAGTCTAATCTGCCCTTAATAAATTCTTAACTCTCTACATTTGTATTCATTGCATGCATCATATTATATATAACTGTGGATGTAACAATTTTCCCTTTTATCCATCTCAAACACATTCTTTATTTTTTATTACTTAAGGCTACGTAGAAACAGAGAGCATGATTTGATATTTGAGATCTATTTTCTATAATCCTGTAGTTTAGATTTGTCTACTAATGTCTATGGAAATGCTAGCATGAGCGGCTAATTTCCCTCAAACTACTTCAGCTCTGTGCCTCCCCATTGCTCTTTGATATTTTACCCATTGTTGCCAATGGAGTAGTCAAAACTTTCTTCACTATACGATTCTGGTTTAGCCAATCACAATAACAAAAGAAATTGCAGCAGACTCCGTCAGAAACAACAATGTATGCTTAAAAGCTCTTG